GGCTGCCTTCCGCCGTGCGCTCCCGCGGTTGGCCGCCGGTCGGGTCAGGATGTTCGTGACCGAGTCCCAGCAAACGGCAGTGGCAGAGTGGAAGAGGATAGATCCAGCTACTGTGCTGTTACGTTGTATTTCATCATGCCGCTATGACCTCTGTGGTTTCAGAATGAGCCTTGCACCTTATCTTTTTACAGTCCTTTGTTTTCCCTTCTTTTGTTTTATTTTTAGGGTTGGTAAAGTTTCAGCCATCCCTCTGGCCTTGGGATTCAGTGAGGAACAACCTAAGAAGCGCCTTGACTGAGATGTGTGTGTTGTATGATGTGCTTAGTATTGTCAAGGATAAAAAGTTCATGACTCTGGACCCAGTTGTGCAGGATCCCCTTCCTCCAAAACAGGTATATTGTACCTAGTCGTGCAGTTTGTATGGCTTGATGCCAAAGATCTTATTTCACTGGAATTCTTCATGTATGATACGTACAAGATTTAGTAAAATGTTCCTTGTCATGTGCTGCTACAATGCTTTATGGGTCAGGGGAAGGCTGTGAATGGAAGGTGAGGCTGATCTCAAAGTCCTCTTTGCTGAAGCTGTAAGTCAAAATGCTGCTCATGGCTATATAATATTGTCATGAAAGTTGCTTTAAATGAGTTACTCAACATCTAGTAAAACTAAGTTATCAGTCACTGTCAATAGTTCCACTAATAATTTTTTTGAGAATTAAGTTACAACAAGTTTTTCTCTTTGTTACTAGAATCCTCAGTTTCTACAGCTGATTTCAAAAAAGAAGTCATTAGCTGGAGCAGCTCAAATCCTGTTGAAAGGTGCAGAAAGATTATCCAAATCGGTTGCAGAAAACCAGGAAAATAAGCGACAAAGAGACTTCAACTCTGAACTGCTAAGACTGAGACAGCATTGGAAGCTGAGAAAAGTGGGAGACAAAATTCTTGGTGATCTGAGCTACAGAAGTGCAGGTAAACAGTAGGGTCTTTTGTTTTGCTCAAGAATGGGTATTTATATTTTACAAATAATTTTTTTGTTATTGGGAAAACAGGTGGAATATTTTTAATAATATCAGCTAGTAAAATATTGTTATAGTTATGAGACAATTATAAAAGGAGGAAACTTGTTTTATCCTGCCATCCTCAACCTAGAAAGTGATTTTAAAAGCTGGCTGTGTGGGATTATAGTAAAGATTCCTGTTCAGAAGCAATTCTGCGTTGACGATGTAGTTGATCAGTTGGCAGGTAGACCTTGTAAATCTTTGGCTTTTATCTACATTTGGTCTGTAAAGCATTTTTAAAAGATTGAGGAGCATCTTGCATTTTTCTCTGTGTGAAGACAGATTTATTATACCTACTATTCCTACGCTTGTGAGAAATTATACTGAGAATACGCATTATTTCTTGGATTACAGTGAGAGAGGGTAACCAGCCCAGAGTTCTAGAGCCAATTATGGAGTGAAGGATTGAATACAGAATCTCACCAAACTTAAGATGTAGATACAAAGCAGGCATCTGAACTGGTTATGCTGGGCTCCAGTTGTCATCATTATCAAATTTTGGGTTATTAATCTTGTGTTCGTGAAGCAACTGTAGGTGTAACCCAGGATATGTCTCTTTTTAGATGATTTATCCTAAACTAAAGGAACCATGCCCTGGATGTAAAAGGGATGCAACTAGGACAGATGTGGGCTTCTGCTTTTATCAGTCCCACCTGAATGACTGGCTGTATGGCTGGTTTTTACAGACTGAACACTGTCATAGTTTTAAGACTGCAAGCCAAACATCATCTGCATGCCTTTAAATCAGCAGGGGTGTTGCACCTTAAGCTACTTGCTTGCAAAACTTTGGGCAGTTAAATTTTGCCTTGTTATAAGAAATACCTAAATTTTTTTTTTTTCCCCTCTCCTTCTCTGCTTCTGCTGACACCATTTTGAAACACTGTTGGTTTTCTCCCATAACTATTAAATACTACTTGCTAACTTACTGTAAAATAACACACATCACACCCTGGAGGACTGAGATGCTGGTGTGCTGAAATGAGCTTTCTAATTTACCTGTTTTTCCAAGAATTCGTTAAGAAATTTGAGTCAAGCGCAACTGTGGAGGTTTGGAGACTTAGAAGTACATATTCTTTCAAAATGGAGGTATGAGCTTCATTATTTGCAGAAGATGCTTTATAATATGTGTCTTTGTCCTTCCTTTCTTAGGCTCCCTTTTTCTTCATCACGGTACATTTGAGGTGATAAAGAACACTGACATTGACTTGGATAAAAAGATACCTGAGGATTACTGTCCTTTGGATGTTCAAATTCCAAGTGATTTAGAAGGATCAGCCTATATAAAGGTTTGCCAGAGAAACTTTAATAATGTAATATGGATTGTGTTTTGTATTTGTACGCTTGCAACAAAGAACAAACGTCAATGTTCTCTTTTGTCCAGGTTTCTATTCAGAAACAAGCTCCAGACATTGGTGACCTTGGGACAGTCAATCTTTTTAAAAGACCCATGCCAAAATCAAAACCAGGTATAGCTAGCTATATGTTGTTTTCTGAGCATATTCTTAAGAAATGTGTTTGTGTCTGACATTTATTTGAAAATTCTAGCTTGAAACAAGAGTGAACGAGAATATTCTTATTTAAACTGAAATTTTCTGTGTAGGTGCTGCTTGGGCTTTGGAAAGACAATGCTTTCAAAGCATACTTCAGTTTTCCATATGGGTTCACTCAATTTCTGAAATAAAATTACTAGGATTGCATTTTAGGTATTCTGGAACACCTTTCATTAGTCATTAAGAGTTTGAGCACATAACCGCAAACAAACCAAGGCATGGTGGCTCCACAGGACTAAATGTACGTTCACTCTTAACGTTGCCCAAAATGTATCATTTGTTTCTGTGGCTTGTATGTTTTCTCTGAATCTGAAAGTGTGCTGGCAGCATGTGCATTAATTACCAACAGCTTACCTGGTAGATAGTAGCTTGATTCATTTGGTATGTGAAAGTATCTGAAGGTGTAAACCTTTGGGATTAAAAATTCATCCTTAACTCTTTAGAATTAAAAATAACCAGCAGGATTTTATTTCACAGCAATCTGTGACACAGATGCTTGTGCTGTCTTGAACATAGACAGGATGTTGTATTAAGCAGATGTTTCATACGGTATTCAGGGTACAGTATAGAGCCTGTGTACTTACTCAGACCAGAATCTTCCAAGAATTTTGGGCCTATAAATCCTGTGAAAGCACATACATGAATTTAACATTATGTGGCTCGTTGTAGAGTGAATGTAATAAAGCTAGAAGTATCATTGAAAGTAAATTGCAACTTAAGAAGCAGGGCTTCATAAACAGAGTTCAGAAAAGGCCTGGGAATATAATAGGCAATTCTAGAAGGGAGGTGCAGTTCACAATATACATATCTGTAAAATTGAAGTAAAATGCATTAGTGTTATCTTAAAGTGCTTACTTAACTGAGATAAAGTTCTGAAAATACTTAATTTGGGTAGAAGATACTGACTACCATATCTTAGCAATTACTCATAGCTACTGCACTGTATCTGGTATCTGAAGCTACCTTTGTAGCTTCTCTTTACATTGCAAACATTGATTTATATTTTTCAGGTTCTCCACACTGGCAGACAAAGTTGGAGACTGCACAGAATGTTCTTTTATGTAAAGAAATTTTTGCCCAGCTGTCACGAGAAGCTGTTCAAATTAAATCACAAATTCCTCACATTGTTGTGAAAAATCAGATAATCTCCCAGCCTTTCCCAGGTAGGAAACTTTTTTAAGACTTCTTAACCTACGATTATTTGCTTAAACATGAACTGAATTTCGGGGCAGGGGGGAGGTAATCTCCTTGTTTTTCAAAGGTTTTGAAAAACAGCATTTCCCAGAATTTGAATTTTGCTTGCTAATTATAGAAAAATTCAATTAATGTACTTCAGTTTCTGATTTACTCATTTTATTGTGTGGACTTTGGATTGTTTGTGATTGTGTTTTTTGTCAGTAGCACTTAACGCTGTCAACTGTGATGCCATGTGCACACTGCAGTTTGGAGCTCTGCGTAAGTCATTGCTCCTGGATTGCATGCAGGTGAAATTTAAGACTTGAGTTAATGGGTCTTCAGAAGAATGGAGGCTAATACTCTTCAGTGAGGATAATTAAACAGTATGAAGATGGCTCAGAGTCGGCTGATGAATCCTCTGTTCTTACAAGGAGTACACAACTGATTATATCATGTGAAGAATATGTTTCTGGATTGCTTAAAATTTATATGATGGTAAATCATTCCTTCTTTGGGGAAGGAATGGGGTCCTGGGGACTCTTCTTTTTGTGGGGGAAATTGGTGTGAAATGCACCTAGTGATTTATTAGTTGGCCTGTCAACGCTTCAGTGAGTAGCAAGTCTTACTTGCCTTTGATGCTGTGCTCACCAACATCATTCTTTGATTCTTCTCTGATATGGTGAACATTGGTTGTAAAACTACCGACTATAAAACATGAAGAAAAAGCAGTTCTCGGTAGCCTGCTTGAAAATTGTCAGTGTCCTATTTTTTTTTTTATCTGCGTTGTACAGGTTTGCAATTGTCTATTTCTCTGTGTCACTCTTCCAATGACAAAAAATCACAGAAGTCCGCTTCTGAAAAACAGAATCCAGAGGATCATCTCTATGTTCTGGAACATAACTTGCATCAACTTATCAGAGAGGTAATGCATTTATGGTCAAGTACTGAAGAGTTTTTGGCCTTTTGTTCAGACTTCCATGTAGTGTGCGGCACTGTTGTAACAACAGAGTGCCACTAGAGGCCAGTCACTTTCCATCCATTTGTGTAAGGCAACCTAGCGTTCAATTTTAGTATGTATGGGTGGTTACAGAGTTCTTTACTAAGTAAAGAATGCTAGTAGTTCTTTACTTAACCTCAGGCTGGCTGCTCACTTCAGAAAGGCAATGCAAGGTTTTTCCAGTACAGGTCATCAGACTCCCTTTTTTCGTTGTGTCTCATTAGCGCTTGTCGAGTACTTTAAGTGGGCATCTGTTCAGACCGTACTCTCATGAAGAACAGACAATCAATTACCATAATAACTTCGCTTCTTTTGAGGTCCACTTCTCTGCTTAACTGTTTCAGATTCTCATATAATCTAGCAGAAGGACCTGGGGTAGAAGTTTCAGGTTGTGTCTGTTCAGGAAAGGAGCATAATTTTAGATGTATAAGCAGTTGTGAAACTGTGTTCCAGAGAGTGTTCATCTCCTTAGAGCATGGTTCTGCAAGTCATGCAGTCGTGGAATAGTCCAGTGTTTTAAACACTGAACTACGTTTCATGAAGCTTTGACTTAGCGCCCAGCTCTGTCGTGGATTTCCTTTTTTGACTTTGCACAGGTTGCTAAATCTTTTTGTACCTCAATTTTTTATCTCTAAAATGCTTCCTTTATTTTTGCTTGACCATTCTGTCTGTCTCCAGAGATGTATACAAAGCAGACTTAGGAGTAGTAGCTACTGCCATACTAGCAAATTTTTGTTAGCTAGCACCTTTTTTTAAAAATTGCTTTCCATAAGGTTTGAAAGACCTGCATAAACAGGGGAGACAAAGTATGAGTGTAAAGATAGCTTCAAAGTGCTGGCAAGTTTATAAAGTAAAAAAGTTGCACTTTTTGAAAGTATGTGCACTTAAAAACCTGATGTGAAGCAGCATATTGTAGTATACATATTATTTCTTGTAGATACTTCATTTGGTCACTTCCTTTTATAACATCTGTTGGTTGTTGCAGTGTCACAAGCAAACCCTGAGCTCGACAGTGATGCCCCATCCAGCTAGTGCACCTTTTGGCCATAAGAGAATGAGACTTGCAGGACCCCAGGCCTTTGATAAAAATGATATCAGTTCTTTACAGTCGAATGAAGGACTTCTGGAAAAGATAATAAAGCAGGCAAAACATATCTTTTTGAGACGCAGGTAGGTCATAAGCTGTTCTTGTTATAATGGTACATTTTATTGTAACTTTTTAGAATACAATTAATCTTTTTTCTGTGTTCTTAAACTAACTACTTCTTCCTTCACTGTTAAAATAGTCTTTATTTTTAAATACTAAGAACCGATAATATATCATGGAATATGAGCAAACATTCACCTAGTTAAAAAAAAAAAAAGAGACAAAAAACCCCAGATTTCTTCGAGATCTCTGTGACAGTTATGACATAGGCTGCTGCTAATTGTCCCTACTTTTCTTAAACTGCATAAATCTTTTTTACTATTCTTTGCTCTGCAGTAGCTGATACTAATACCACTTTAATACTGCTGCAGAACGTATGTGAAATGTAGAGAGTAAACGAGTGCGCTTCATTAGCACCAGAATGGTGATGAAATAGAACTTTGATCCACATGGTTCTGTTAAATTTGCCTCTTTTTGTTTGGTTTTTTTTTTGGTGTGCCACAACCCCCCCCCCCTGGGCCCCCACCCCCCCCCCCCCCCCCCCAAACTAATAACCTACTTGTTTCCTTTAAACAAGATGACAGCACAGACTGTCTAGATTATTGTGCGTGGAATATGTCTTTATCTTCTAGAACTGCTCGAACTATTGACAGTCTGGCTAGTCGTATTGAGGATCCTCAGATTCAGGCCCACTGGTCTAATATAAATGATGTTTATGAATCCAGTGTGAAAGTTCTAATAACTTCTCAAGGATACGAACAGATATGCAAGTAAGTATGAAAATGCATGTAGCTTTCTAGTTGTAGGGGCGTGCAGCAATGGCAGAGTGTATTCAAGTTGTGTTTTACAGGTTTAGGTTCTCTTCAGACAGACAAGTAGGAGCCTGTTATTTGTGTGCTAGTGTTTGGGTTTTTTGAGTTGTGGGGGGAACAGCCACCCTAAGAAAACTCTTCACCCACTTTACACTTTAATGAAGAAACGTAGGAAGTTGTTAACTAGCACAGTTTCCTTTCAAAGAAGGAATTGAAGGTTAAAGTGGCCGCTTAATGGGGGAATTTACTTTGGATAGAGATAGCTGAATATAAAGTGTCTCTGTATGTGCTGGATTCTAAACTTCCAGTCTGGTCACGGAGAGCTAGTCAGTGCTCAGTCCTAGCTTGGTTGCATAGGTACTGAAATGGGGAACTCATGTAATACATGCTATTACTTATGCACATTGTCATCAAAATAAGAGATTTCATGTTCCAGAAATGAACATCTGCGTGCTGACCAGCAGTGAATTAATTAATGCGTTGACAGTGGATGAACCAGTCATTTTCCCATTTTGAGCAGCCTTCTCTGGCTGCGTCTACAGTGTGGAGCAGACTGCAGTCATTGGTGCAATTTCCAGTCTCAGTTCCAGAGTACACATGCTGCCCAAGTCTTGGCTGTAGGATAGAACAGGCCCTGAGTACACAACATTTTCCCCTGCACCTCTGGAAGGGAGCTTGGGCACAGTGGCAGGCAGGGAGCTGTGAGGCACCTCAGGAGGTTCCCTGACCTGAACGAGCAGGGGACCAGGTCTGGGAACATGCCACGGAAAGCGTTCCCTGCAGTACAGAGGGAGCTGTTGTGGCAAGTGAGGAAACTGAAATGTTTGGAGTTGCTGTTGTATTTCATAGGCTTTGCACCATCTTCATCTTAAGAGTTCTTGTCAATGAATGGGAGGGATTCTGTGTTCTTAGTTTCCTGTTTTCTTAAGTGTTGTAATGCATTTTGAATAAATATACATCTTGTCTTCAAAGATCCATTCAACTACAGCTGAACATCGGAGTTGAACAGATCAGAGTTGTGCACAGAGATGGAAGAGTTATTACGTTGTCCCATCAAGAGCAAGAACTGCAGGATTTCCTTTTATCTCAGGTAGACTCATATACATTATTCTTCCCTTTCTTGCAGTGTTTGGGAAACAGAAGAAGTTGGAATCTCACCTTTATGTAGAAAATGTTAGAAAACTTCAAATAAAGATAGAGAAAATAGGAAGGTGGATGACTGAATTTTTCAGTATGTTTGTATAGTGACTTTAGCAATGGTTACTAAAATACAATGCCAGTTTTTACGAAGGTCAGTAGTGATAATAATTTTTCCCTCCAATTTAAAATACATTTCTTTATGCTACTCATTATGGGAGCACTAAGATTTTTGCTTACTTCAGAACAGGTCAGTGAGAGTCATAGCAGACAATAAGGTATTCAATATATGAAACTTATTGTAACCAAGTCCCATCTAGAGTAGAATCTTAATGAGCCCACAATTACTGTAATTTCAGCATTGTCTTGTTAATGTTCACTTTGCACCAGCCATTACTAAATCAGCTGATACTTGAATGAACTTCGTTTTCTTAATGGCTTAGAGCAAGTTGCTGGTTTTATTCAGAAGTGACAGTCTCCCTACTATGCATTATAAATAGTCAAAATACAGGTCTTTAATAACAGTGGTTGACCTGTTGCAGTTATATGAAACTCCATGACACAGAAAACCAGTTGAAACAGGTTCTGCTGAGGGTGTCTCTTTTTGGTCAAGTGTTTTCAGACTTGTTCACAGAGAACTGCTGAACAGTGCTAGATACTTCCTTGTTACAAGTGTTAATTCATGATACAGAAAAACATTAGCATTTAAACTTTTAAGCTGTTAAAGCTCAATGCTTACGCTTGAGCATTAATGGAGATAATCACACATCTGAGAAACTCAACTTTTTCTGAGTTTGCTATGATAATACTCTCACAGACTTTCTGTATTTTACAGCAGAAGTCTCATTTCCATTCAAAGAAAGGATTATTTAAAAATCCTGTTTGTATCACTTGAATTAGTTCTTGAGACGTAAATAAAGGTTTCTGTAAATTGGAAGCAATACTTACATAAAATGTATACCTATGAAAAATTCATCTAACTGCATAGTGTGCTTAATACAGTGGTCTTCTCTGTCTGCAATGGAACTAGTCTACAGTCAAATAACACAAAGCTCTACTAGCACTTACATAGCATATATGGTAAAAAAAAAAGTTCCTCTGAAACTAGAGAACTTAGAAGACAAAGTCACTTTTATAAATAATTACTGTACAGCAGAAGAAAAAAAGCTTGGTAAAACCAGTAACCAGTTCTTTCTGTGGTGTGCAAATACTGAACAGAAGGCGAACCTCTTGTTATCTTTCAGATGTCACAGCACCAAGTACACGCAGTTCAGCAGCTTGCGAAAGTTATGGGATGGCATGTGCTGAGTTTCAGTAATCATGTTGGTCTGGGGCCGGTGGAGAGTATTGGCAATGCATCAGCAATAACTGTAGCATCACCAAATGGAGACTATGCCATTTCAGGTAGTGTTCTCTATTGTGCAATGTATGGAAATCTTAATGTATAGACATGTATGGAAAATCTTAAAATTCTTAAGCGAATTCTACAGGCTTTGCAGGTCTCTTTCTGAGATAGCCTGTAGACTTTTATAGAATAATGTCAATTTATAGCAAAATATTGTAGAAACAATCTTTTGTGTATGGAATTAACACCTAAAAAGAATCAATACTCTGCCCAGTAAGCCACTTAATATAAACATGATTTAATTTACACAGGCTTGAAAATATTTCTTAGAATTAGCATAAAAAAAATAGATTACAGAAACCATCAAGATCCTGGGAGAAGGGAACAAAGCAAACAACAGGATCACAACTCTGGACTTAATGAGAACAGTTTGGTCTCTTCAGGGATCTTCTTGGAAGAATCCTATGGGATACCATCCTATGGGATGGAGAGAAGAGGGGTCCAGGAGAGCTGGTTGATTTTTTTTTTTTTCCCCAAGGATCACCTCTTTCAAGTTCAAGAATGGTCATTCCTATGTGCAGGAAGTTGTGGAAAAACAGAAGATCTGTGTGGATGAACAGGGAGCTCACGACTATAAACTCATGACATAAAAAGGAAGCTGCAAGAGATTATAAGCAGGATCAGTTGACCTGGGAGGAAGATAGACTGTCAGAGCATTGACAGGGATAGGAAAGCTATAGCCCATCTAGGGTTGAATCTGGTGAGGGATGTACAGGGCAACCAGAAGAGCTTCAACAGGTATGTTAGCAGCAAAAGGAAGAATAGGGAGAATGGGGAGAGGACCTGGTGATACAGGACATGGAGAAGGCCAAGGTACTCGATGCCTTCTTTGCTTTGGTCTTCAGACTGGTCTTCAGGAATCCCAGGTCCCTGAGAGCCATGAGAAATTCTGGAGTGAAGAAGACTTACCCCTCAGTAAAGGAGGATCAAGTTAGAGAACCTTTGAACAAACTAGACATACACAAGTTCACGGGACCAGGTGGGATGTATCCAAGAGTGCTGAGGGAGCTGGCTGATGTCATTGTAAGGTCACTCTTGATCATCTTTGAAAGGTCGTGGTGATCAGGAAGGGTTCCTGAAGACTGGAAGAAGGCACATGTCACATCCTATATTCAGGAAGGAGAACCTGGGGAGCTACAGTCTGGTCAGCCTCGTTGCAATTACTGGGAAGATGAGGCAAAAAAGCAGCCTCAGAAACAGTTTCCAAACATGTTAAAGACAGGGAGGTGATGGGCAATAGTCAGCATTGATTTATGAAGGAGAAACTATGTTCAATCAGCCTGATAGTCACCTCTTTGTAGAAGGCTAGCTTGGTAGGTGAGGGGAAACCTAAGTGTTATCTCCCTAACTGCTTATTTAAAAAACAAACACCAAACACCACCAGTCTTGCAGAATTTTGTGATTAAAGCAACGACTATGCTGAGTGACTTCATTCCTGTCCGTTTGAGATAAATCCACTAGAAACAACATCTTTTTGATCACATTTTTCAACAGAATGGTGGGGAATACATCCAAGGTAAGAATTAGCAAAAAAATTTTGCCCTTCCTGGCATCATTAGGGAAAAAGAAATGCATTTGTGAAGTGTACGTGTGGGTTTTTTGTCAAATGTTTCTCTGGTTTGCTCTAACCAAGAACATGCAGTGCTAAAGCAAAGTGGGAGACGAGAGAGAAAATTCAAAGAGAAAAACTTTTTTTTTTTAAAAAAAACCCGTAAGGTAATTTCCCTTGTTTGCTTTCAGCATGTTTGGAATTGAGTAGGAGTAATATATAGCATACATCAGGAAGCATATTTAATATGAGGAATTCCTACAGTGTAAAAATGCTCATAAAAATCTCTGTTCATCACAGTACGTAATGGTCCGGAAAGTGGCAGCAAAGTTATGGTTCAGTTTCCACGGAGTCAGTGCAAGGATCTTCCCAAAGGTGATGTACTGCAAGACAACAAGTGGAATCATCTTCGAGGGCCGTTCAAGGAAGTGCAGTGGAATAAAATGGAAGGGCGTAACTTTGTGTATAAAATGGAACTCCTCATGGCTGCCCTAACTCCATGCTAACAATCCGTGAGCCTCTCCAAGGGCGGCCTTTGATTCATCACTGTGCTGCGAACGATCACTGCCTGTGCAGTAAAGGGAAATGGAACCTATGGGGCAATACAAAAAAGCAAACCCAAATTTATTTCCTGTACAGACATGTCCATTGTAGTGTTTGTAATAAAACTTTTTTCAATGATGTATAAAATACAACTTTTTGAAAAAGTTCCTTTCAGCTGTATCTTTGCAGATTGCTCTATCTGGAGTAATATAGCTGAGTAATTAATGTATTTTTCTTTTATAAAACTGAATTCAGTAGTCCTTTGCTACATGAAAGGTGCCTGCTCAGAGTCATTCCCTTTCCCCTTGTGCCTCTGTTTCTCATCAATAGATCTTTGCAAGTATAGAAAGATGAAAATTACTAGAATTGACTTGTGCTATCGATAAGCCTTTTAGTGGCTTATACCACAGGGAATGGCTATCCTTGTGGAAGCTAATGGACTTGTTTGATTAGAAGTAGGGCAACAGAGGAGAGGCAGAGCTCCCTGGTCAAGAATTAAGGCTAAACAAAACTTAAGATTCAAGGAAGTCTTCACTGCATGACGTTCTTGAGTTGGGGTTTGTTTGTGTTAACTGTACATTGATGTGGCTTCTGGGCGACCCATTTCTTTTTGAGAAAGATACTTAGCGATTTGTTTAAGCTGAGAGCATTAAGAAGTCACTGCTTGTGGCAAACGCCTTTCCTCTCTGATGTCTGTAGATAAGCCTATGAGGTGTAAGTTACTTAGCTTGTGTTTTCTGTCCTTGATTTTTGCAAGCATGTAGAGGCAAGGATCTTAATCTGTTTGCAAAATTCTGACAATTTGAGTTCGTGGGAGACTTGTGTAAATTCATGTCTGGATAGAAGCAAGTAACTCTCATGCAGTAGACCTTGGATCTCCACACTTGCACTGCTGGGTTTTTGGTGGTTTTTTTCTCCCTGCCCCGCTCCCCCTCCCCCCGTCACTGATTATCATCCAGAGAAACAACAATATCCTGAAAATCACCTTTTTTTGAGTTATTTTAAAATAAAAAAAGTCCTGGGTTTGTCTTTTTTGGTTGGAATTGTAGCCTTCTTGAAGCTTCTTCTAAGGTGTTGCACAGAGCTTTTCTTTTCTTTGATAATTAATTGCTAAAGGTCTTTTTGAAACCTGTCTGTATGAACTGCTTCAGACTTACGTCCATATTGTGTTACGAGGTGCATGTATATATATGTGTGTATATATATGAGAACTTCTTGCACATAGACCATGTTTGAATTGAACATCGTACTTGTATGGTGACAGTTGTTACTTTGCTGTATTCTTGAGCAATAAAGAATAGTTGTAGGAAATATATATTAAGCAACTGCTTGTGGCAAGCTGCTGCTCAGTGTGTATCCAAAGCAGCTGTTGTACTTACGTTGGCATTTGCTAGTGTAGAACAGCTTGTTATTTCAGTTCCTTGAAGTACTTGCTTTGTGCAACTGAACTATAGAAGAGAAAGGGTTTTCCTTTCAGGTTCTGATGAGTTACCCAAGACAACTTACGAAAATGAAAAAACACTAGTTGAAAATAGTCTCTTGATCTTGAAAGATGGGTGAATCTTACACACCACCTGTGATGCCGGGTCCTGTATTGCTTGGCTAGCAGGTGCTGTATGATTACAGGCAGAGAGGGCTTTTGTTCCTTGGTGAACAGTTCAGCCAACAGCCTCATGCATCTGTTTGTGCATCTGATTATATGAGGCTGTTTTGACTCTTGGCAACACAACAAATCTTCTCTTACTAATAATTAGAAGATGAGCACATGAAACTTAGACATGTCTTTACGCTTCACCATTCTTAACCTAAGTTGACAGGTCTGCATGTAGTGATAGCCTTTTTGTCAAATAAGTTCTTCATTACCAAGTAACAGGATCACTGTGGAGCTATTAGGATCTCATAGTTGCAGGATTTGTCCCCTTCTGAAAAGAAACAATGGATGCAAGAGGCCTTCTTGTGTGTTGCAGAAGTGTAAGCACTGCATATTAGCAGTGAAGACATTTGTCAAGACTTCCAGGCCTAGCTGGGGGAAAAAAAAAAAAAAAAAAAAGAATGATTAGGGACCTGGAGAGTCTGTCTTTTAAAAAGTGTCAAATACATGGGCATTCCTAATTTTAATGGAGAACAGACTGATTAGGCTTCTAAGAGAAGGACAGTATTGAAATTCTTGGTAGTGCATCTTTGAACATGAAATGAAGACATTAGTGGATGATTAAGACCTTTACAATTGATTGCCAAAGCAATCTTGTGAACTTGGACATCTCTTTAATTAAAGTTTAAATGCAAAATGCCTTACTCCCTTTGATCACTTGGAATGCTCTAAATATTAAATTTGCTGCTGTTCTGCATGGAGTTTACAACTGGAGTAAGAACAGCTATTGGTTTCTAAACTTCCACTCTAACAGCTTGCCATAAGGTTTTAGATACCTCAAGCACCTCCAGTGTAGCAAAAAAAATGCTGCAGGCAGCTTAGCCTCATGTTCTGTCAAATATTATTGACATTAATAATGCATATTGACAAACATCAGTTTCAGAAAATGTGAATATTTTATAAGTGACCCTACCAATGTAGAGTAAGCATGTCAAATTCCAGGTAAAATTTGTGGGTGAGGAATTGTCTATAAGGAAAGCAGTACGTAGGCTACCTGTACTGTATGTCCTCACTGAATATTATTTGCATCCTCGTTGTTTATCTAGGGTATTACTACCTAAAAGCGAGGTTGGCACCAAGGTCAATAGCCAAGGATGGGTGCCTGAAGTTGCTGTATCTTTAGCCAAGCTGAGAGAGGTAGAAGAACTGTGCTCGTTGGAAACTTCTTGCTGCTGTTACAGTGCAACTTAAATTGAAGAATTTTAAGTGGTCATTTCCTACTTTCATCATGGCTTTCAAGTATTGTCGTTTAAAAGTGTAAGTGATCTCTACAATTACAGGAATGCATTCAAATGGTCATTCATGTCTGTATATATTTCCTGACTTTTGCTTTGACAATTACAGTATTTAGGTCAATGTTAGCAGATAATAATGGTGTTACACGTAAGCTGCACTTTTTGTCCTTTTTAAATAAGTCTGGCAGTGCACCTGCTATATACTCAGCTCAGCCTAATGCGTAACTTCGCGTTCAAGTTCTAGGATTTAGGGATTAAAAAAAATACGGAACAGATAAACAAGAAAAAAACCACATTTAATAATGTTTTCCTTATGCTATATGGATACTTTACAAAATACTTCAAGCTTGGTGATTAAAACAGATGCACTTGCAACTTCTGCGTTGTCAAAGCTTAATTCACTCAAAGATACAGCGGACTGGTAGTATATACTTAAAGTGAAGAATTAGAACAAACTTACTTTGCCAAGCTGTGCTGTAGCTGGGATTTTTTTTTTTTTTTTTATTTTCTCACCTTTTTTGACCTCTTATCCTAGATGCAGGAAAGACCAACCAGCTGAATCTGGTACCCGAATTTATGAGTGAATGTGAGGTGCTCTGTACTACAAATGGCCAGTTCAATCCAGGGATGACTTTTAAAAAGTACTGTGTACAGGGTGCTTTGGGAAAAGCCTGTTTGCATTGTTATGCACTTGGTGAGAAATTCTTTGTTTTTCTGTATCTAACCCATCGTACCTCTGCACCTGAGCGTCATAGTCCCCAACCAGAGGGGAAGCTCTGTCAGCCTGTTTTGTACAAGCCTTATGCGAACAAGTGAGCTAAAGCGTGAGAGAGGCAGTAGCAGCACGTCAGCTCAGAAAGCCACATGGCAATCTGCAGACACAGACTAGTCCATGGTCTCTTACACGTTCAAAGTTTATTTCACACTGCAAAATTCTTCTCTTCACAAAAGCGAAACAGGATAAGTTGAAGCTGGGTCAGTTTACTGCTTTCTCACTCAAATGTTATTCCACCCAGAAGATCTGCAGGTGGAAAATCTAAGTGTGACATGCAGATTCAAGAAAACACTAGTTAGATCACTTCATGTTTTCTTACAACACAGGAAAGCAAAGGTGGCTTCTCAACAAGAGCAATTTCAGAACTGTATCTGTAAATACTAAATTTCAAAGTAATGCTGTTTTAACTTGTCTTCCCACATAAACTATTCATTGGTGGGCTAGTTTGCAAAGAACTCGACATCTTTCACAAGGAAACTGTTTAGTATTTTGCCACCCCACTGCTGGGTTGTTGTCGGTGTTTTATCTGACCCCTCTAATTATAGACAGCATCCTCTTCAGTGCATGTGTGTAGTTCCTTGTTTAACAGCCTTCGCTGGTAATGTCATAAAATGTGTGTTAATATCCCAGGGCAGTGTAAACTGTTGGAAACTTAAGTGGGCGAACTTTGACCAGCTCGGCATTGTTTCAAAGTCGGTTTTGTCTCATGAAGAATTGCAGTTTGTCTTCAGAGCTTCAGGAAATTCCTTATGCCCAAAAGTAGCAGCATAGGCGCAATAAACAGGATTCAATCCTTGCAATTAATTTTTTAATGTAATACTGTAATTAGACATTAAATTTATTATGTTCAAGGATGCTAATGGCTGCTCTGTCTGTAATAGGAGACTTGCTGTAGCCGAAATACAGGTGTCCTTCAAGACCATGATCATTTCCTTTATGGGTTTATCTTAGAGGCTTGCTTGCTTGCTTGCTTGGTTGTTTTTAAGAGTGGTAGAGGCTGTAGATTTTATTAATTAGCCACAAAAATGTGTTCGTGCTCAGCATGAAAGCATACTCTTTTTTTTACTTTGACCTCAGCTAGCAGAGCTGAAATCTTAACAGGTCGAAACAGTCCCATCAGACACTGCTGCTTTCAAGTCTAATTAGCTTTGCAAGTCCGGATGTTTCTACAGTAGTCACAAACATTTTACCTTTTAGGTTTCTTCTCGCTTTCCTTGCCAATACATTCTCCTGAGGTAGAACTGTTATTTTTGTTATGAGGCAATCCTTGGCTAACACTCAATGGTTTCCAATTCAATCTCTTCAGTTGTACTTGCTGCAAATAAAAGGATATTATTATTGATTGGCAAATGGATTGGAAGGCCAGCCTTCCAAAATTAACAACGCTGTGTTAATAGCTGAGACATTTTGAACTTTTTAATATTAGCTCAAGCTTACTCATCTACAATTAGGTTTTAAGTACATATTTTCAAAATATTTAATTGCATAAAGAGTCCCTCACATTCTTTAAAGTGACACTGGTTTCTTCCAATACAAGACTAAAGACACTATGAAAACTGAAGTCCATTAAGGCCAGTCCTTATACCTCTCTTTGTGACTTTTGAAAGGAGGACTTTTCTAAGGTGGAATTGGGGCAGAAGTTCAGTCCCTGCTTTGGATCATGTTCTGGGAGATGACAGAGCAAGTCTCCAGAACTGCAGTTTTCCTGAACTCTGCCAAATAACTGTACCTGATTCAGACTTTGTAAAACTCTGGCTCTTGTAGG